AAGATTACTGTAGTGTACATGGCAGCAGCTGCAGTATCCTTGTCTATTTTGCACGGCGGATACACCAGGCCCAAGATATTCTTGCCCTCTTGTGTGTAAACTGAAAGTTAATATCACAAAGACTGATCACTGAGAAGACAAGAACTGTTAGACTGCTAGTTCAGGTGCTCAAGTGCTTAACATGAAAACCCTGACTATCTATGTTATCCTGCAGAGGTGGAACAAACTTGTGCCATTAAGATTTCTATTTTAAAATCATTGTGACAAGCAGCATTACATATTGTTAAAGCACTCCTAACCAAATATCACTAAAGAAAACATTTTATTTAAAGCAGTTGCTAGCTCCATGCACTTGATCTGCATTGTATCATTGATGATCAATCACACAAGGTTACAGACAAGGTTGAAAGACACATCCTTCCTGCTTCACTTTGCATAAGCAGTAAGTTGCATGCCAGTTACACATCATCTAACTCACCTGCTATTACTCCCCTGCTGTAGAGAGCCGCCAACACCATGTCTTTCCATTCCTATAGCAAAAATACAAAAAGTCAAACACCAGAAATCAAGATCTTTAACTGCACCTCGTTATTTTCCTTACATTGTACTTGTCACAACTGAAGGTAAAAAAAAGTAAGTTCAAGAAAATGTTATAGACATTCTTTTGTTCTCAAAAATCCACTACAATCTTCATAAAATAAGCTCTGCCCTTTATCGGTTCAGGTGAATGGGAATTTTTCTATTTATTTGTCTGGGATCAGGATTTGACAAGCTGCATTTAGACTGCTATACCTATGATCATCATGATAAAAACAGAGCACATCTTTTAACAGCATGACAAGAAAGTTGTATCTATGTGGAAACTATGTGGATAATTCAGAAGCTTTCTTACATGTAAGGTTCATGTTAAAATTTAGAAAATCAACTCATGCAACTGCAATTACAAGGTGAACTATTACTTCTTATATTAATTACTATGGTGAAAAAAGAACAAATGCAACAATTGTATCTATTTTAAACTACCTTGTGTGGAAGAAGCAGAAACTTCATCAGATGGCTTGACTCTGTCAAACATCTGTAAGTCAAAAACATACCCATGAATAAAAAAAAATAAAATAAAAAAATAAAAAAAAAAACAAACAAACCACAACCAAACACCTCGTAAAGTTTTGCCTCAGCTGAATTTCAGCATGTCCAAGTTTTCAAGAAAGCACAGTATTATTCTAGCTATTTCAGCTTAAAGGCATCTGTGCTGTAAAAAGTGATTACTGCTTTACTAGGTTACTCTCATATTCTATTTAACAGTGCTCTATACTACCCATAAAACAACTCGAGTGACTTGCAAACTGTCAGTGATCACCAGCATTGGCAACTGAAAAACTGCCAATATTAGCTCAAATGCAACAAACTACTTTATGTAACCCATTTACTAGGGGAAAAAAACAAGTGGAACAGAAGCCTCTCCCATGGCAATTTTGCAGCTGTATGTTAGCTTTGACAGAGAATGGGATAATTTCTGATCTAATAAGAAAAATATTTTATTTTACTAATGAATGCAGCTTAGATTGTTATATTATTAAGCAGTAACTTTGTTAAATTCATTTAATGACAACTTCTTCAGTTACATTTGCAATACGGGTAAAAGATGTATGTTAATAAAAAACAAACAAGAAAATGATCAGAATAGTCATCCAGGCTGGAAAAGAAGTTATAATTGTTTTTATTCAAAAGATTTGCAAACCAATAGTGACTCTAAAAATAGGATTTTTAATTATTAAAATATGACAACTGCAACAATACACAACTGTAAGCTTTAGGGAACCTAAACACAAAAAGCTTCCAAGTGTCATGGTCCTTTACCTTACAGAATACAGACATAAAATTATTTTATTGCACAAACCTTGGTGTATCAATCTATTTCTTCCACCAAAGGTGACGATCCCAGACTAGCAAAGAGCATATGTCGAACAGAAGGCCATTTGCAGCACAGGACATTGATCTCTTTTCATCCCATCTGGCAACAATGAAGTTAAAGAGCTTTTTAAAACAAAATTAATGACGCACATTCTCCACACTCTAAAGCATCTTTTTTTTTTTTTTATATACCATTTTGCAAATACGTCAGTCAATAAACAAAAATCTTTCTGAAGCCCACTATGCATCTTCCTTTTTCTATTACAGAAGTGTTTCCTAACTAAGCGCTGACTGCTCCTCCCGAAATAACTTTGCTCTTCCCTCCTTCCTCGTGTACCCTATTTATTAAATATCATTGTGGTTAGCACGCACAAATTTAATTATATTTCTATATTAACAGAAAAATTCCTCAATATTAAACAAACTGAAATGTGTGTATTCTGGGCATAGTTCCTTAACCGGCTCAAAAACATTTTTATGTTGCTTTCTTATGTTAGTTAAAAAACGCAGTTAAGTATTAGTTAAATTATTAGCCAGACATTGCAATAAAACACTATTTGGTTATGTAAACTAGTTAAATACTGCAATAAAATTAAGTGTTAGTTAAATTACAATAAAACTCTAACTGAAATTTTCATAGTTCATTGGAAATTCAAAGCATTTTATAAATTAATCCCTACATACTTAGTAAATCTGTACCATTTCCATATGGCAAGCAGAGAAACACAGATATGGTCACAGTAATTTGCACAAGCATTGCCACAATATTTACAAAGAAAGCACCATGTCCCATCTCAAAATTTGAGACTCCACAATTCCTAGACCTACTCTTGGCTTAGCAAACATACAGGCCATTGCAGAATACCAAACCAAAGGATTCAAGTCAAGCACTTTTACTTCCCCACCCCGCACCAGTAAACTGTTTTTACAAAAATATAGATGGTATAGATAAGCATTCCACAGTCTGTAGGGGGCATCACATCTATTCATCCCAACTCCCTTCCTCCAATTTGCCCCAAAAATGATTTACATCATCATTGCATCAGCGCATCAGCTATAAAAGTTTTATATATTTAAAAAAAAAGATCTTTAATTTCTTCTCATAGATGCCAAGCAGTGTCAGCTGCAGAATATCCACTTCAATGGTTTATTACTTTTTTATTTCAAGGAATAAAGGCTTAGTCATCACAAACACAATTATTAAGGCCACACCCATAAGTCAAGTCACAGAGACTCACACACAATTAAACTTGAGCTACCGTGACAATAACTTTAAACAGCGCATGACCATTAAAGAGACTACATGGAATTAGTCCAGGCTGGATCCCTCTCCCACCTTTTGCAGCTGAAGGAGATTTAGCAGAGTAGTCATCCCCATCCAGAAAGGGTTAAGTAAAGCCTGGAAAATCCTGCATTACCATAAAAACCTGGCAGAGCTGTACTACCATTTCAGAGAAGATCCTCCCCAGAGATACTTCTCTACTCAGTTGACACAAGAGACAGGATTTTCCTTTATCTGTATTTTATGAGAACACTAATGTACAGAAGAAAAAAAAAAAAAGAATGAAAACTATATCCAGGTTACCCCCTCACACTGTGCTCAAATCACAGCCAGAGCGTAAGGTCAATCTCCTACAGAGATGCTGTTCTTACATCACCAAAACCCAGAAAAGACTAGGAAAAGCCAGAGAGAAAAACCCAGATAGTCTAATTCTTAGTGGAAAGAGATGCCATACTCTAAATCCACAAAGGATTTAGAAGATCTGTAGGCTTCGCACAGGCACCTCTTATTTGGTTAAGATATTTTCAACTGGAAATATTTCAAAACATCGTATTAAAAATTAAAACTACCACAATTCAAAGTATTTTTTTCCTATACGAGCTTCACCTGAAGGATTTTGCCACCAAAAAACTTCTGTTTTTAGAAACAAATGGTGCACTTTCAAAGGTTTCATTTGGTTAATTTCTAATTCAAGGACTACTACTTGTTTGCTCTCTCTTTTGTACTTAGACCCTGTTTTGTTGTTTATTTCTTTTTATTTTGTTTCCTTCCCTCCAAATTACTCAGGGTACAGTGGCCAGTGTGTGAAAACACCTCAGACAAACACATTTAAAATGATTAAAAACAAAATCCACGAAGAGGATGCAAACAGCCATGAAACACACAAATAAAACCTACCAGCACTTGACAATACACACAAAAGTATACAAGGCACTAAAGTAACTCTGCAGAAGGCACCACTCGCCTACTGCAAGCAATAAATTTTAAATAAAAAGGGCAAAGAAGATGAACAAAATCAAACCCACTTTTCTAAAAACACCTCACAAACACACCTAAAAATACTTCAGCACACAAAGTCCGCGCTGCGTGGAAATGAGAAAAGCGGGGTGAGAGAGGAGGGAAGGAACGGCTCATTCCCTTCAGCAAAAACAGGACCGTTTTCACGCGTGTTTTCAGGGAGCACGGGCCGCGTTTCCCGGCGCCTCAGCGGGGGCGCCGCCCCGCCCCTGCCCTGCCCTGCCCTGCCCTGCCCGCGCGCAGGTGTGCGCGTGCGCGCGCCAACGGCCGTAACGGCCGCACCTCGTAACGGCCGCGCGCTCCACCACCCCCGTCCCTGCCTGCCCGCCCGCGGCTGTGGCTGCTCCCGCCGCCTTTCCCGGCGCCGACTCGCTCACCTCCATCGCTTTGCCCGGGAGCTCTTCCGTGCCGCGCCGGGGTCAGCCGGTGCCATCCGGCGCTTCCTGCTCCGGGTCGCCGCAACGCGGCCCGAGGGGCGGAGGAGGAGGCGGGGAAGGAGGAGGAGGAGGAGGCGGTGATGGCGGGCGGGACCGGCGGCCGCTCTGTGGGAGGAGCGGCGGGGCCTGCGCGGCCTCCCGGCGCCGCCCCGGGCTGCGGTGGGGCGGCGGCCGCCATCCCTCTCGTGCCTATCAGGGCTCCGCAGAGGCGCAGGTCTGAGCTCGCCCTCTAAAATGTTAAAAAACATAAGTCATCCGTGCGGAGCTAAAGTTACCCGGTGGTATTTTGTTGTCTCTTAGACCAGAGTTTGGCAAAACTGGAACTGGAAGGGAGAAAAGAAAGAAAAGGGAAAAGGAAATTTGACTTCTAACTATATATAGCAGAATGTTTCTGCCTTTTAGGGCTGACACTGTATCTACTAATAATTATATACGTATTTACTTCTTGTGAAAGGACAATTGGTAGACATAAGATCGCAATACAAGTGTATCTGGAGGAATTACTCGGTTTGGTAGCCTGGAAGGAGTCTTCTAACTTAACAATAGATAAAGCTTCATTCTGAATGGAAGTCCTCGTGTAAGAGCATAGATTTGTAAGAAGCAGTCGTAAGTTTCTGCACAGGCAACATTGAAAAGGTTTAAGTTAAATGAAAGCTCAAATGGAAGCCCAGATCATTGTGAATCAGCTGAGCTGCATTCTTAAATGTGTGCACTCCATTTATGGCTAATGCAATGTGAAATATGTTATCTCTGGCTAAAATAGTTTATTTTTACGATGGATTTATAACAGGCTTAGCAGGTTACTGTGGCCGTGCTAGCCCTCTGCAATATGCTGAAGCAAAGTAAACTCAGTGAGGTTTCTGTGTGCTCAGTGTAGCTTGATACCGGTGTTTCTCTTCCAGAAGGGTTCAAAGAGCTTCTTGGCAAGAGAAGGCTTTAGCGTCAGTCTTCCAGTGTTACGTGAGCTATCCTTGGCACGATTCTCAAAAATTTGCAAATGGAAGAATGGAAAGTTCTATATTACGGACTGTCAGACAAGAATAGCAGATTTTAAGCTCGTGTTTACAGGTATTTCTTGTTTTTTAACCAAGTAGGCAGCAGACCTACTCAGCACGCATGCATGAGTATGGGAGTGGGACTAAAAAATTTCCTTTCCTCTTAAAAATTCTCATGTCTCCCAGTTCGAGTCTCCAACCTTTTTATCTTGCCTAATATCTTCCCTAATTTAGACTATTCCCACAAACTCTTCCATATGCTTGCCACCACTTTGCCTTCTGGTTTTGCTTTGATTTACTATGCTTTTCCACTCCTGTTAGCCAAATATAGATTAAGATTGCACCTATGAAAAGTGTTAGGAAAAGCAACCTTTGACAAAGGAGAACACTATGTACCTTCGCTAAAAGAAGTCTCTGGTATCTTCCAAGGGTTGATTTCAGATTCCAAAGACAAAATGTAACAATGAAAATGCCAATTGGTAAAACTAGCTGTCAATAAATTGGCCTAAATTTTTGGTGCATTGTACACGTTCTTCATATATTCTAATCTAAAAGTTTAACTTGACCTTTTGTTTTTGTTACAGTAAAATGCTTCAGAGGATCTGAGCTTATTGTGAATGCCTGAGAGCAATTGAAGGCTGGGATTTGAGCCAAGCTGAGAGTGCCTCTGCCAAACGTTGGCAAAGGTGAGTTACTAAACCTAAACTGGATTCTAAAAGGCACAGGAAATTTCAAGACAGTCCAAGTGTACACGTAGGTTTTAGAGCATGTCAATTCTTAGAGTCTAGCTCGGGAAGGGAGATTCTTTCTAACCTCACAGCAAAATGGGTGTTCTTTAGTACATGGTATGACATTAAAACTTCTAATTACTAGAAAGTGTTAAATATCCCTTACAGGGATTGTGGTATCTGCCTCTGCAGATTCTTTTACTGGCCATTTTTGAATATCAGATGCCAGAATAAGTGGAGCTGTGGTCTGATCTTGAACAGTGTTTCTTTTCTGCCTTTATAATCAGCTCAGTTATATTTAATGATAAGGGTTTTCCAGGTGTAAATAAAGAAGAAAATTCCTCATCTGTGTCAAAGGCAAGTATAATTTATTAATCTTTTAAGAAAAAAAAAAAGTGTGTTTTTTTTTAAAAAGGATGATCATCTATTTACTTCTGTATCATATGGGAACAAAACACGAATTGGAAAGAGCAACAAATCTTTAATGAAAAAGAATGTTTGTCTTACAGGAAGGCAAGCTTGTGGGAATTTTGGTTGTTTTCTCATTGTATAAAACTGGGTTTCCATCTTTTTGTGTTGTAATCAAGGCATTATAAAAATTTTGAATAAGGGTTTTAACTAAATTAACAATAAAAAACATACCTAATATAATAGGATAATTGGATGCTAGATGAATCCTCATACTGCCTACCTAAATACCTAAAGGTTGTTGTTTCTGCGCTTCTTTTTCTTTCTTTTCTCTTACCTCCCCTACCTTAAGTTAATTCCTTAAAGAAGTTATCATTTTAAAATTGAAAGAAAAATCATTTAGACAACCAAAAAAATTAGAAGTAGTGTTGTAATTTAAACATGATTGAATAGTGAACAAGGAAAATGTTAAAAGTCTTTGGAAATTGTAAGGATTCTAAAAGTATGTTTGAAATGTATCTTACTTTCACTCAGTAAAAATTGGAAACATCTTTAACTGTTTTTCCGAGGAACTTAACCAGTTTGAGTCTTGTTGCATATCTTGTTAGAAAGAAATGTTCCTTAAGTGCTTTTTTTGTGACCACAAAGAAAGATCCTGCTCTGGCTTTCATGGGCTGATGTTATTAAATTATATTTTTTATAAATTGTTTTTGGTGTTAAAATTGTTCTGAATAATATATTCCCATATACACGTACTTTAGAGAATATATGATAGTGGGTTGCTAAAGTTTTTTATTAAATTTCAAATCCATACGGTAACACTGCTGTAATTTGCAGTGACTCTAGCACTGCATGAAATTTTGTTATTACTTAAGCAAAGCTATCCATATTGTACCTAGGAGAATATAGGAAAATACTGTGCTCTTGAGTGCTGTACAGACAGCCCTCTTGTGGAGCGAAGGAAAATGCTTCTCAGTTAAAGGGAACATGAAATCTAATTCCCATTTTCATCCTGAAAGCGCATTCTGCTTTCACAGAACATATATTTAATGATGTAATGCTATCTAGTTTACTGTTACTACTAGTTTCTGCTAATGATCTTTATCTTTTTGACGAAACTGTGCCAGTGTTCTTACAGAGCTGGCCCAAATAAAAAGACTAGGTCAGGTAGTAGGAAAGGTTGCCCATAGGTGACTGGACATAAATGGAGGATATTCTTTGACTTTCATCTTATGCGCTAAGATAATTTTGGTTTCAAAAATAATAGCCCCTGAAAATTTCTCTGCTGTATGCTGTTTTTGCTTATTTATTTTCAAAAATAATACAGAATTTAAAATAGCCTAATTGATTACCTGACTAGTCATCTGATATAGTTAGATTAAGTCTGTAGAACCTGCAAAACCTTCAAATGCAACCTTTTATTGCCAGATTACTAACAGAAAGAAGCACATAATTGTGATATGTATGTGTTGTAAAATGCAGTGGAAATTAGGTAGCTTAAAAGGGGCTCCATTTCCTCATGCTGAAGAGAACTCTAAAACATGACAGCATTCAGCTACAAAGGAGATGGATAGACCGATGAGTATGAGCATTAACCAGAGTCAGGTAACAGAAACTGAGCAGATTTAGAATGGAAATGTTTTCACCTGTGTGGCAAAATGTTTCAATAGGTATGTTTTCAACCATTCTTGAAACAATTCAACCAATCTTGAAACATTTTTAATAAGAACAGCAGATGATTATTATTCTCTTCCACCTCTCTGTCTATCATAGTTGGAATGCCAAGGCATTTTCTCAAAAGTAAATATTAATTCCCACTGTTCAGACAGGAAATCATGTATTTTTGGTACAGAAAGGTTATTTTCTCAGAGCTGCTTAGGAAGTTATTAATTATGTGTTTCAAGAATTTTGCAATCTTCAAGCTCCCTAAAGTTGAGTATCTTCCTTGACCCCTTGGAAAATTCTGAATTAAATGTCTATCATCTTCAATGAAACTGCTCCCCTTTTAAAAGGTTATAGATGAATATAACATGACCCCGAATATAACATACTTTTTCAACTTCCTTTTTTGCAGTTTGCAAGAGTCAGGGAGTTCCAAATATATATAACGTGTTATATTGACTCAGTGGATGTTCTGTTGTCAGTTTAAGGTGGGGTCAAGATTTATTCCCAAGGCAGCTAAGTAAGCCAACTTTTCTTCCACATTGGCTGTTCTAGATCATACTAGATTTTTTTTATGTTCTTACAATAAACCACATAACTATTTTCTTACATTTGAGACCAAGAGGCACTTTACCTTGCTTTACCTTGGAAATAACTTAAAGAAAGATTTCTTTATCCCATTCAGAAAAAAAAAAAAAAAAAAAATCAGGAAACAGATTGGAATAGACAAGCAGTGTTTTTCTGCAAGGAAAAGAATTTAGGCTAAAAATGTGATAAGCCAAAACATGAATCTTTGTAAGAAACCTCTTTCTAACAGAGTTTGAAAATATAGAGACTTTTTCATGGGACAAATTTGAGCATACAAGTGGAGGGAAAGGAGAAGGAAAAAAAAAAAAAACTTAAAGCCATTTGTATTTCTTCAGCATTTCACATACCATTTCTAGAACTGTGAGATTTCTTTGGATTGGATGGTTAGTGTCTTTGGTTTCTGGTACATCAATAAAACCATAAATCTCTTCCACTTCTTAGGATGGTCTGTGTTTTCAGAATTTCAGTATTCTGAGACCTAAAAAAATGCGGGTTTTTCTTTTTCTTTTTTTCTTTTTTTTTCTTTTTTTTTTTTTTTTTTTATTGTTTGGTCCGATCCACAGTATTTTCAAGGTCTGATTGACCTTGTAAATGGTTTTTCAAGGTCTGATTGACCTTGAAAGGTAAATCAAGTTATTTTCAAGGTCTGATTGACCGTAAGTGGGGACCTTATATGCATTTTGCATCCAGCTCATGTAGAATGAAGGAGATATGATCTTTCATTTTTCCCCCACAAAGTGTTAAATGGCTGCTGGACTTAAGTCATGTAGAATCATAGAATTGTATGTAATGTAAAGCAATAGTGAGCATGCATATTAATGAAAGTGAGAAAAATGCTGCTGTTTGGGCTTTTTTTTTTTTCCGGAAACTTGGATAAGAATGACACATAGAATAGAAATTGTCTTGCAGCATAATACTCAGGCAGATACATCTGAGCCATTTTGTGCCCAACTCTTTCTTGTAGCCAGTCAGTATTAGCTTCTTTTATACTTGAAGTTCAGTTATCTAAGCTCTAGAACTCTAAGCATTTTATAGATTATTTTCTCTTCCTCAAGCAATTTCAGTAATATCATCTTCAAAGACTGGAATATATTTCTCATGTCGGTAGAAGCTTGGTAATATGTCCCCAAGACAAACAGCTACTTAAACAGCCTTTACAGAAAATGTTTCATTTCTAGTCTTTATGCCCATGTAAATCCTGCTTCCACATTCCTGTTAAGTGCTAAATTTGATTGATTGAAGCCTATTTTCTAAAACAAAAGCAAAAAGGAGTTAAATTAACTTCTGTGTTACTTGATATGAGCTAAGGAATAAAACTAGAACAGAAACATAAGTGTTAGGGTTTTAGCTGAATAATTGAGTGTTTAGACTGATTTCCTGTGTTTTCTTCCTTTAGACAGTTTACTAGGGACAGAGGAAATTTTGCTTTTACTGAAGTCATTGGAAAAGTTAATGTTGACTTCAGAGAGAGGACTGAGCTCTTGATTAGAAAAGTTGTTTTTCAGAGCTAGTAATTTGTTTGACCTTAATCACAAGTAACATTTATTGGGATGAATCAGCCCCTATCTCATTAGAGGGACCAAGAGCTGGGTAAACTTTTGAAGCAGAGCTATGCTCACTTCCATAAGAGTGATCAGAGGAAAAGGGGCAAATACAGAGCACTGGGCAGAAACTTGCACTGCTGCTCCTTGTCTCACATTTACTTCTATGGTAAATAACATAAATTTCCGTGTAGTCCAGGTTGCCTGGAACCTTTCACAAAATTTGTTTACATGCAGCAAGCAGAAAAACAGACTGACAAATGTTGCTGACTATAAAAAGCAGCTTTAAAAATACAAATGAATATGTGCTGAAACCACCAACCACAGCTTTTTCAGAGCATCCATAGCTGATTGAGCTTAACTTGGATTTGATTTGTACTGGTGGGCAAGAACTATTCTTCATATATATGCAAGGAGCTACAGTCCAGTTTAGAGCCTTCACATCTCATAAACCCTGAGCAGTGTGAGTGGCTGGTCACTATTATAAAACGTACCATCCGGCTGCATGATTCCACATGCGCAGAGATGTTTCTCATAGTTTGGATTTTGAATAGTGCAAAGCAGCAACCTTGCTCAATCATCTGCCTATTCATGCATTTTTAGGGAGCTATCCTTAATTTTGTACCAAATAGCAGCTTTTGCAGATCCTTAGAACTCCTCTTCAGTGCCCTGTTCACCGTTTGTTAGTGCTTTGACACAGCTCTGTCATAGGCAGCACAATAGGTTAATTGTCTCTGTATAGGGTAATAGAGCAGTGAC